CTCTGACCCTCCCAACCCTCCCCCCTCTCATGTGCTCTCTCTCTCAGTCTCTCTCTCTCAAATAAATAAATAAAATCTTAAAAAAAAAAAAAAAAAGAATGACTTAGAAACTATGCTCCTAAGACATTCGCTTCTGAGATGGAACACGTATGCTTCTGAGAAGGAAGAATGGGTACTGATGAAGATGTTTGTATGCAGGCAGTGAGGATGGGGAAAAGTTAAAGAAATATAGTAACTACTACCTTATTTACATGGCACTTTATGCATTAAAGCAATTTCACACACCTTAATTGCATAGGGATCTTATAATAACCCCGCAAATAGGCTCAGGGAGACTGGAATGAGTTGCCCGAAGGTCTGCAGCTGGTGAGCTGCATAGGAAGAACTTCTTCAAACTCAAAGGTCCTGTGCCTTTTCCGTTATTTCAGTAATTATGTACAAGCAGAGGAGTAAGGTAGTGAAGGAAAGAGCCATGGGAACTACGTGACTGGCTTGAGTATTATGAAGGGATGGATCTTTTCCAGTAAGTGAGGGAAATCTTCGCAGTAATTAGATTTACAAAGCTCTTTCAAGGAAGAAGGCTTAAAGAAATGTCTAATCATATGTGTCGTGGATGCTTTCATCACAATGAAAGAAACAGAAATAAAGCCAGATTATTATAAGACATGGCAAAGGGTCTAACCCACGTGGTAGCTGAAATCCCAAGGACTTTTCCTTACTGGGGTGTTTAGTACTAAGGTTCCTCTCATCATCATTTGGAAATGTCCTTTTTGTTTACATTAAAATTTCTGAGGGTGTGATCACACAATGTCAAAGCATTACTTGATATGGACAATCAAACCGATAAATTCTTTTAAAAATTCTTTTCATCAGATCATACCCTAATTCTTACTGAGAAGATAATTAAGCAAATATGGCATCGATACGTGCCATGCTTGTTGAGGTTATTGTTGAGGGAGGGGGATGGCAGTACACAGGAGGAGGGTCATGAAGTATTTTAAGAATCAAAAGTCTGACAAATCAGAGTGTTTGGTAAGGAAATCCAATCCACGCTTAATGAAAAGAGAACCTTTGAATGTTTATTTTGTGGGGGACTTTCTTTTTCGGCTGAGATAGGGGCACCTTGGAGATAATGTAGTTGTGGGTGGTTTTGCAAGAAGAGCCTTACTTATCTCTTATTACCTGACACTTCTTCCAATTAGCTGTCTCTTAAGGTCTCTTATGAATACCTCTTATGGTCTAACCAGATACCTCAAGTGTGCCCTTGGAAAAGGAAACAAGGCAACCAGACTTTTACAGCTTTACCAGACCCCCTTTACTGACTTTGTTATTTCTAGCAGGAAAAGGAACTGAGCCAAGGAACATCTTCAAAGGTAGAGGCCCCCAGGAGGGTAGGGCCAATTGGTAGTAAACGTCCATTTGGCCTTCTGGTAACTACAAGCAAGGGGCATTATAAAGGCAAGAGCTCCAGTACACTGCAGGGATGCAGGTTTCATCCATCCATCTACTGTTTAACACTTTTGTTATTTCCTCCCCAGGGATGCTTGCTTTTCTCTGTAGGCTACATGGGAAATTAGAGAAGCTGGAAAAGCAATTTTCTTTTCCTCTCCTTCTTAACCATTTCCCCTAATCCTGAGACACAGGTCCCTGCTTTGTCTTTGGCAGGGGGGATGGGGTGGGGCTGGTCAATCTCTAAGGCAGCCCTCCCCATCTCCAGTAAAGTTCACTTTAACAAGAAGCA